TGGAATTAAAAAGAAAAACCGGGAGTTTTTTTCGTTTTTTTGTAGTCTTACGAAATCGATTAAAATCAACAAATCATAACAATATTATAACATTGTACCACTCGAGAAAAAAAAAGCTGAAAAAAAAACAACAGCTGGTTTCGAAACATTTCTCGGATTATATTACATACAGCGACCATTTAGCTTTTGTATAGAATTATTTTTAGTACCCGCGTCTGAAAAATTACGTCTGTCACGTCGCGCGTGCATTTTTTAGACTATCAAGAACAAAGATAATTTCGGTGTCTCGTTTTCTCGGGACCAACAGTACGACGTAATCTTGTAATATTTATCGTCTTTATAGCTATTAATATGATATCAACAATTATTATGAGTATTATAACTTCCGTCGTCATTTCGGAAACGATATAACGTGTGCAACTAATCGTCTGCAAATTATCATATATGTATATAATGCTACAAAATATATTATTTTCTTTATAATTTATTATGAAAAATATTGTTGTTAATATATTAATAGATTTTAATTTAAATCATAATATTTTTATTTTTAAATTAATTGTTCAGATCAAATTATTAAGCATTATTGAGTATTAATCCATTTGTGCAATTATTACATGCACGATACACATAGTGTAAATAAATAATATTATTGTTTTAACTAAAATATCAACAATGGGAAAGCTCCCCCAGCAACTACTTTAATTAATTAAACAAAAAAATAAAAGGACGATTTAGTGTATACCTGTAAACAACAATAAACCTTTTTTTTTATCGAAAAACGATTCTCAGCTGAGTTCAGTTGATAGTGATGTTTTGTTGTCAACAATTTATACGTCATATTATGCTAAAATAATTAAATAGGTATTATATATTTCCTTTAATAATATTTATTTATTATACCAATTTTCCCGTTTTTCCTACGTTTTTCCCCCGGTTTTCTAATGTTTTTCCGGGTTGTTCACATTAGCTGGGAAAATCAGACATGGACAAAATATGTAAAAATGATTAACTAAATACTCGATACCGGTTAAATCTCAATATCTATAATTTAGATTGCATCAATCTAGTTTGAAATGTGGTGCTATAGAAAAATGTTGAGGACGAAACGAATAGATAAGCATAGAGACGTAGAACCATAGGGGAAGACCAAGATTAAATTACGTTCAGCAGATAATAAAAGACTAAAGATACAACTCATATGTAAAAATTCAAAAGATAGCGGATAATAGAGAACTATGGAAGATGGGCTGCAAACCATTCAACGGATTGAAACCATAGAGATAATCTAGACGTAAGATAGTAGATGCTATTATATAACAAGTAATGTGATACAATAAACTTAAAACATTCAAGTTTAAATATTTGTACAAATTTTCACGTACGCAGTATCTTGAAATTTGCGGTAGTTAATTATTTTAAATGTTTCTGAAAAATTCCCAGAAATGTCCTCTATCTTCGTACAATCCATTTCGGTTTGTAAATTTAACGTATTTTCGGAAAAGCCATTTGAGAAAAAGACCAGGTTAGACCCCCGTCAGGTGTCTATGTGCCCGAGACTTCAAAATTAATATCTAAAATCTAGATTCTGAATACATTAAATTCAGTGTCACAATATAAAATACTACATACTTTCCAGAACTGTATCAAGGTATAAAGGACGCATAGGTTATTTCGCGAATGGTGTTTTCTGGTAAAACCAAATTCTCTCTCTTCGTTCTTAAACAAAATCGATAAAATGAGACGGCATTATTCAAAAGTTAATCACCTAACTTCCGACGAATTTTTAGTTCACAACGTTGCACATTGTATTCGCACACTGTATTTTTGAACTGGATTACGACATTCACGTCACAACAATGAAAATTCTGCAAAAAAACAGTTGCTATGAAAACATAACTAGACATCTATACAGCTATGTTAGACATAACATATATAGTATATATAAGTTAGTTTTTGTATTATTTTCGCTGTTGAGTTTGTTTTTGAAAAGCGAAATATTCGCTCGGGTGCATTTTTATAGTTTTAGACCAAAATATTTCCAAGAAACGGATATTTTATTTTGATTTTTTTTTTTTTTTTTTACATCGATTTTAAGTTTGAAATTTGTAATATTTTCTACGCGACCGCGTGTATTCCAATAATAATAACTATATGTTTGACATTATTATTATTATAATTATTATTTTTAGCTATAAATTATTATTACGCGCTATTACACCGCGCCTACGCCATTGAGTAATGTGTTGGCGATTCTCGGGAATTCGAAATAGTAGTGAGTTCGTGAATCGCATTAATTAAAATGTGCATTCCCTCGTTGCGAGCGATATTGAACGGCGGGACCTAATACAAAACGAAACCGTTCATATATTATTATAATATTATGTAGGTATGTTATAGATAACGATTGTGGGTGATGGAAACCATAATTTCTCACAAATATACAAACGTCCAAAACTCGATATCTGAATATGGCCAGGGTAATAGGTATGAAACATTTCACCACTTGAAATTTTTAAATTAAAAAATGTACGAGTTAGTTATAGGCATTATCGAGATTTTATTAGTTTTGATTTTAATTTCGTTTGCATACAATTATTTTAGCTGAACAAAAATATTGGGACGTTTCACGCAAGGTTCATCATATGTCATACAAAGTGTTAAAAAAAAAAATTCAGCGTAATGGAGTAGATGTTTTTGTAAGCTTTTTATAAAGTCACATTTTTACGAAAATCGTAAAAATAACGGCATTTAATAACATGATTTCCGTTGGCAATGATTTATCTTTGCTTACCTAAATCAATTAAATAATATTATGTGTCCTACCTTTCCAACTTCCCATCTATAACAGTGGCAAACAAATTAGCAGTACTAGTCTTTTTAAGTCTGCAATTTGTTTTTTGTTATAATGCAGAGTGTCCTACAATGTTATCCGAATATTAATAAGTGATAAATTTGTCAATATTATTTTATTTCAATCAAGTTTTATGTCGGGGGGAGGAAAGCATAAATTTAGAGAAGAATTTAATTTTTCTTTCAATTCCTTAACCCTTGAGAAAAATAACATTATATTTTTACACTTTCTAAAATTTTAAAAATAGCCAATTTGTAAAATATATTATTCTAAAAAATTATAATGTAGCAAACATTCATATCCAATCAATAGTTTCTTAATAGCCGTTATAATATCTATAAAAAGGTGGAAAAAAGGAGACTACCAAGTCACGCGGTAGTGAATCATTGTCATAATACAAACTAATAAAACTGTCAAAAGATAACAATTTTTACAGTAAGTTTTCATTGGAAATTAAAACGGCTTGTAATAAGAAACTATTAATCGGATATGATTCAAATGTTTAAAATAAAATGTTTTACAAAATGGTTATTTTGAAAAATTTTAAAAATCAAAAAGATAAAAGTTTTTTTTTTTTACGAATTAAGGGATGAAAATAACAATTTAATTTTTCTCTAAATTTGTGTCCTATCGACATAAAACCCATTTGAAAAAAATAAAAAAACTAAAACAAAATTAATTTTGACAGAGATATTAGGATTTGAATAACACTGTAGGACTACTGTATAGTGTACAATTATTATGGTAAAAAACTATATACAAATTAAAGCTAGTGATGAAAGTTAGGATGCATTTCAATGTGCGTGTGTTCGCACTTATGCATGAATATTTTTTGATAGATTTCGATAAATACCTATTTCCGATTTTGTGTATATAATATTATTATGTATGATCGTACGTTAAAAACTAACGTGGGTGGCGGACATTTGTACCTTAAATTCACTACAAAGCCCCTGTCGACCTGACGAATTTGTTTTTGTTTTTTTTTTTGCTAAATATATTATTATGATGTTATGTGGAACGTCCCGTGAGAATTTGTTCAATGATTTAAAACGAACTAGTAAGTGTATACATCAATACATATTTCCATAATAGGTATACATAGGTAGCGACCGAACGCGGATAAAACTTTCGAACCATCACGGAACCCTTAGAGGCAAAAAAAAACGTTTAGAAAGTAGTAGAAAAAAAATGTTTAACATACTTCGCACCGTTGGTCTACAACGACTGTTAGAGATATGAAATAGAAAATGTAAGGTAATTATTTAGTTTTTACACATAATTTCTAAAAACGGCATATTTAAGTTATAATACTTATTTATACACATTTAAGTGATCAAAAAAAAACGATTCCAAGTTGAGATTGGTAAAATAAGGTAAAACTGAAAACAATAAAAAACTCACGACAACTCAGAAATCAACAAAAATAAAATCGATGTATATAGTCATTTTTTATTAAAATCAAATGCCACATGCCACACTGCCACACTAATTATACTTCACTACTTTCTTCTATTCACAAAACTTAAACGTGTAATATCGGATCGTTCTAAATTTAAAACGTCCAAACCAAAATTTATCTAAACTAAACCTCCATTTATTTACGGAATTTTTAATATTGGTTGTTACCTGAAAATTAAAAGTAAGTAGTGGTTTCATCCCAAAAGTAAGGGTAACAACAAAAATTAACGGTAAAGTAATATTTTAACACTGCTTATTTATTTAATTGTCTGTAAAACAAATTACGAAAAAAGTTAATACATTCCTGAAATAATGAGTGTCTTAAGTTATGTTGATTACTTTGTATAATAAATACCTATCTCACAATTAATTTTACTGTTTACTTTTTATTTATTTCGATTTGGCTTTAATACAAAAACCTTTTTTAAAGACTTTTGTCCCTGACTATTAAAATAAAAAAATAATAACATTTCTAGACTTTTTGTCACCAAACTTATCTTACTTCTTAGAAAAAAAATAAAAATATAAACCGTTATATTTATATCGGAATATTGCAGGCCAAGTCGTTTGTTGCAGCGGATTCTTGCCCTTTGCCGGGACGCTTCCGTTTCGACAAAACAGCTGGCTGACATTAACGACATCGACGTGTGTGTTTGCAGATACGGCGAGGAAAAGCTGGCGACGGATGTTGCAACGCCGGAACTACCGACGAACGCGTTCAGACGAGACGGACATCCGGTCGGCCACGCGAGAAGAGCTGAGCGGTGCGATGGCCGGAACCCCGCGGTCGGGGACGAATGACTGTCGATCGCAGTCAGGCGGTCATGAAAGAACCGGTCCGCAAGCGGCCGCGACCATATCGGTGGCCGAAGCGGTCGCGACGGCCGCGGCCAAGTGGGGTGGAAATAACAGCAGACCGGTGGCGGTGGACCACGACGACGACGACGACGGTGGAGGTGGCCAATACGACGACGGCGGACTCGGCGACGACGGACGTCACGGTGACGACCGCCGTCACCGGCAGCTGGTGACACCCAGCGCGAGTTGCCGGAGTACACCGCTTCGACACAACCCGTCTGTCGGATCGGCCGACACGGAAATGACGTCACTAGACACCCGCGAGCTGTGGCTACCGGACACCGAGCCTACCCCGTCTACCATGTCGGCCCTACACCAATTCGGTGCTGAAATGTTGAGACTATCCCGTGGCCTGGAGAAGGTCGCCTCGCCCGACTCCAAGCCTGCCTCGCCCGATAGGTCTTACAGGTGAGTGATAATCACTACAATTATTTCACTGTTGAAGTGAAAAATGATCACTGTATTTCCATAAATCGAAAAATAGCTATTTATAAACATTTTTATCAGGGTTTTAATTAATTAAATAATAAAAATTATGTGACATTACGCTAAATTTCTTTTTTGTGAACCAAACAACGTAGTTGTGAAAAAATAGGTTTTTTTTTGCGAATGTCTTATTCGAAAAATTATAAATAAAATTGTTTCATAAGTCATAATTATTTAAGAACAAAATAACAATTTAAAAAATTATAAGTATCTACTTCTATTCCCAAAAGTAATAACTAATACAAACGGTTTGTTTTCATTTATGAATGAATAGGAACTATATAAATCACTAAACTCTTCAGAATATATATTTGTAATTTCAATTTAAATTGTTGAACGTTCAAAACATTAATGAATAGTATAAAACGTTTTAAATAAGTATTTCGAACACTACGCGACTCTGCCAAAGGATACACGACGAATTGTGTACCAAATTGTAGAACTCATTTACCGCCCTAAATATTTTCTCCGGCTTATTTGAATTTATACACTAAAGACTAAAGAATATCGATATTTGCAGGCACATAAATCGGTGTACGGCATTTTACCTCAATCCGTTTTCGTTTTCTAAACCGTTAAAACCGTCTTGTTAAGCAAGTTGTGGCGTTATATTTTTTTCGTGGTAAAGTGTCACGTTTTATTTTTTATTTAATATATACGAGTATCTTCTCATTTATTCAGTAACAAACGGTAGAAAAAAAAAAACAAACTCAAACACTCGAAAAATTGAATTTGTATTCGGCCGTTTGAGTAGATGTACTTACACATGGCGTAACTGTTAAGTGCGAAATGCTACTATTAATCCACGTGACGACCTACTTCATAATTTCATAACCATCAAACACAATAATTTTTAAGACGTTAAAAACTGTCTGGTACCCCGCGCATAGTGACACACAACATTATCATTAACCATTTGATATTATTGGTTTTTCGATGTACCCGCATCCATTAAGTGATGATCGTTGATGAAAATGAGCGCCAACTCAAAACTCATCCGAAAACCGATGACAAACCCTTTATTTTTTTCATTTTTCGTAAATGAATCTTTTAGGGAGCGGTGACGGACAAAGTAGAAATTGGCAGTTCAAATTACTCACTCTCCCATTCCAATATACAGCGGAATAGCTTAGGTCAGGGTAATGGGTGGATCGCCCCCTTGGTATTTTTTTTTTATGGTATGACATTTTAATTACGCCTATAACCTATAAATAATAAAATACAATATTATTTATACCCGTGGTGTAATAAACATTTAAACCACCCCCCCTCTCTTGATTGAACTTCAGCTACGTTAATGATGTATCACCCATCTGATGAAGCTATTGTGAAAACTCAAAATGGAGGGGGGAATTGAAATTAACTTAATAACACCACGGGCTATATCGTTTTAAATGAAAACAAGTTGACAAGAAATATGGAGAAATAATTTATTTGATTTGTTGATAAATTATATTATAATATCTACTCCTTTTAATAACTGTTTAAATTGTAAAATAATTCAATAAAACATTGTTTAAGAGTATTTTGTACGGCTTTGTACATACAAAATTAATATTAAATTAGATTATTTTGCCTACCCATTTGTTTCCCAAGGCAGAGATACACGAACTATTTATACGGGTTCGACACCATTGTCGTTATAAAAATTGTTTTAATCGAACTGTATCACCAGAAATGTGCCAGATATTTTAAAATTATAATCTAGATAATCATTTCTGTGTACCGAAATTGATTTTAGTATCGCAATACAAGATATGGAACATTTATGTATTAAGTATTTAAATACTAGACAATCAATACGTTAAAACATAAATATTAATTAAATCTTGCACTCGTATAATACTTTAAAATTTATGCGGGGTTTTTATTTGAAATAATTTTTCGAAATTACCAACATTTTCCTTATTTTCATGTAATCATTTTCAATATGTTCAGCATTTTTTGAAAAGCCATGGAGGAAATGATCCAGTTGTCACCTTCTTCAGGTACTAATAAGAATGATACTTCAAAATTCGTATATATAAATTGATGATACACAAGGAACAAAGTACAATTGTATTGAAAATACGTATTTAAGAAACTTATATTAAAAATAATGTATAGCCTGGAATATTACGTACCCTAGTAAATGATAGATTATCGAAAAATAATTTCTGAAATCGCAGTATATTATAATAATAAAAAAAGTGAAATTTTTTTCCGCTGGAAAATAAATTGTGATCGATTTCAAGTGCTACCCCACATTATCGTGAGGGTGAAAAGGGCATAGTTAATAAATTCCTATAATAAAGCTTACTCGCGTAAAAAATAATATTATTGTGCGAACCGATCCGTGTAATAATAATTGAAAACGTCAATATTATCCCGCAACTTAATTATGTGAACTAGCACAGATATACCTATATGTATAATGCGATCGTGGATACAAATCGTTCGATTTTTAAATCAATTTATTCACATTTATTTTTTTTTAGATTCTGAGTATAGCGAAGAATGTATTGACTTTACTAAGATGTTTATTATTATTATTTTTTTATTTTTTTATCCTGTGTATGAAAATTCTACCAAAAATCATGCTCAGATATATACGCGTGACACCATTTTTAAAAAGAAATGTTGTCCACATGGTACTTTTGTTAGGTCATTTTTCGATTTTCTAAACGGTTTTCATAATATTTGGGAAAAACCAGGATAGAACGTAAGAAAAACAGAAAATTTACGAAAATAATAATGCTTTTATTATTTTTCAATTTTGTTACTTGTTGTAATTCAGTCAAAAATATTCGTAGACTTGAAATTTGGACAGAACATTTAAATTTGTCTTTTCTAAACGTGGTAAAATTTTCATAAAATTAAAACCATGATTGAGATATTTATAGTTATTTTATTTTGAGAGTTTTGTATGTAATATTTATTCCTTAGGTACTCTGTAGTAAAATTGTAAGATTTGAACAGAAATTCTTAAAAATTTAACAGAAGGTTCATTAAAAACCCTTACTTTGTAGTGAAAAAAAAAAAAGTTTAATGTAGTATTTTTTTTCATAAGAGAATTTTATCTTATCAGTATAGATATAACGTTCTCTTAATGTTAATAGTCAGTTAAAAAATAATCTTCATCGAGTACTGACTAAGGTGTTTTGATATTTAAAAATCTATGAATTTTATGCAATTTATCTGAATTTTCATGACTAATCTGATTTCTTAAATAATTCTATATAAGACTAAAAGTTGAAAAAATGCGCACTTATAAACTAAAGCTTAGTGAAACACTTCGCAATTTAGAAAACAATAAACACAACTTTAAGGGAAATTGGTTTACTTTATAATTTTCAATAAAACCCAACCATTTTCTTGGCACTTTTATTCGTTCTTCGGAAAAACTCTAAGTTCTTGGGGGTTTTATCGAGAACAAAAACCCTGATAAAACCCAATCGGGTTAAATTTTTTCAATAAACCCCGAACATTTGCTAACTTTGATCATATTATATACTATGTAACTATTACTGCATGTAATATAACCATATTTATGAAAAACAATTTTAGCCTCTCTTTTCCATTTTAGATAGGTACCACGCCTATGAGTACATAACAATAATCGGGGTTGTGCACGTACATTATGTTCAGAACATTTCGGTAGAAAAAACAAAAAGAAATGCCTTTCTAGCCGACCCGACTTTAAACCCCAATTAAAATAACATGTAGAAACCGCGAGTGCATTGCATACTGCAATATAATAAAAACGATAACGAGGAGCTTGGAAATAAACATTGTATATTATTTATTACTACAAAGGCGCGTATTGTAATATTATTCGAAACGGATTTTTTAAAGCGATAATTGAGAGCGAAAAAATGTAAAAAATTCCATTTGTTTTAAAAACGTTGTTTTTTTTTTTTACGACCATGATTTATGTGCGTAGGTAACTCGCGAATCCGAGTGTCGGACGAGATTTAATTATTATACTTACCGTCACCGTAGTCGTCGTCGTGATGTAGAATTAACTCGCCGTGGCCAGACATATATTTTCCATTAGGCGTACGAGACGCAAAATGGCCGGAAATCCCGGGATTTATGAGTGGTCGTGGTTCTTTTCCGTTTTTTTTTTTTTTTAATGAACTCGCGAATGAATAGGCGAACCCGCTCGTTTCGGGCATTCGTATCCGCAGTGTAATACAAAGTTATCCCGTGCAAATTATTACGTATAATAATATACGATAAACCGATCGTTATTATTATTTCAAAATACTACAATTATATACTTGTAAAATTAATGGTGAAAGTCTATTGAAAAAAAAAATAGAAAGGGTGGGGGTATACTTGATACTAAAAACGCTAAACACGGACAAATTTTCATTTTCCTAACTTTACTTAAGGGTAAGGGTTCTGTAAATAATCTAATAAAGATATGATTAAATTCATTTTGAAATTCAACTTAAATTTTATCACTTTAACCCATTTTTAGAATACGACTCGAATCCCCTAGTTTAAACTCATCTGATCCAGTGAAAGTCACTAGACGTGTTCAAAAAAAACGAAAAAGATATAAATATAACTTAAAAAATATTTATATAAAAATCATATTGAAGTGCAACAATTTCCATGTTTGGGGAAAATGCAATAAATACTTCTACTTTTATTCGACGTTGGTACTCTCCTGGAAGTTTTTTAATGACTTCATTGAAATATATTTTATTCTAAAGTTGTTACTTTGTGGGTATTGTAAGAATTGTTAATCTTAAATCCAATAAAACTTTCTTTAACCATAATATAGATCTCATCTAATTTTAGAAACTGATAACGGCTGCAGCTAATGTATAGTGATGCAGAAAATTTGGACGTTTGAGTAAAATACTTAGTAATAGGTAGATTAAGTTTTCCATTTCCCCTCTGCTTAGTCTAAAACTGTTATAGTAGAATTAAAAATAGGATTAAATAAGAGAGGGTAATGATGTGACGGTGGAAAGGAGAGAGGAAGAAGGAAAGGAGTACGGGAAAGTGTATGGGGTTATAAAGGGGTGATAGGTATAGGTATATTCATATTCGTATGTATGACGTATGACGTGAACGCGCGGGGATCTATCTAACGATAAGATGATTGATGGCAGTGTTGCCACAACGAGCAATCGATCGGATAAAACCTTGAATAGACTCGCAGCGTAATACGTTGACAAAATTGGTATAGTTTGTGTGTGTAAATGGTTCTATGTGTCTGTGAGAGTGGTCGCTCGGATTGTATTGTAATAAAAAACGTACCTATTAAATTTATTGACTATGGCTATTGTCTAAGACCCTATACTTCTCTTCTGACTATTTTACTCTTATTAATATACTATTGCGAAAATATGTAAATATTACACTTACCTTATATGTATTTTCTGCTAGAAGTTCTTTGCTCAAAATATTAGGAGCAAGATATAAGGGATATGGGTATCAATGAATCGTTGCGATGTATACACCTCGTTAGGTACCTAACAGACGTGTAAATACTATTTTTTACCTTCGGCTCACAATGCGGCAGTCAGATGTATAGACAATGCTAAAGTTATCGAGAATCACATTTTCACCATCGTCTTTTCTAGACGTATAGACAACGGTTTCACGGAGTTGAAAGGGTTAGACGTCGGCACTAGATACGACCACGTCCGTTTTACGTTTACAACCGATTAACGAGATGCGTGTAGCCGTCTGGTCAATGGCGTTAGACTCTTTTAAGTGCAAAGTACTTTCGTATGGCATCCTGTACCCTTTTAGGCGTATAGACAACCGTTTTCCAGGATGTGTATAACCGTTTACGTACCGGAATATTATATATGTTTTTTTTTTAAGAAAATAAACACAATCTATAGTAAAACAACAGAGACAATAAACACAATTACCAGGTATATAGAATAGGAAGAATTAAATACAACAGCCCACCTTCGACATTTGCAACTACTGTATAGGTTTGGACAAAAATGTATGGTTGGTGTGAGTGAGCAAAAAATGTCTGCTTCTGTTGGGCGAACCCAGATAAACTACAACTGACTCCTATACAGTCAGAATGTCGGACAGACTATCAGATTTTTGGGTGACGCGTATGGCGTATTTATGTAGTCCGCGGTCTCCCACACAGACGATTATTACTTCACTACGGTACCTACGGGGTCACCTCTTTGTGAGCGACGCGCATAATTAATATTTTGAATTAATATGTGCCGTATTAAGGTGGTAACATTGTTTAAGAGATGTTTGTGATCGAACTGGTAACTGCTGTGTAACTGCTGCTGGTGCTGTGTAACCTTGATCGTTTATATTACAAGTATTAAATATTCAATATATTACACTGTGGTAGTTTCTCATCCACTATATGCAGTCGGTTTATACTTAGGGCAGTAAACCCTTTGGAGCATTATTAGGTTTAGACAAGCAGTGTTTTTTTTTTTTGAATATGAAGGGGGACAAAAATAGGCGATCTAGCCAATCATAACCTAGTAGTTCTGAGAGCATGTATGTACCCGGAAAAACTATTTTCAAAACCAACGATGCTCTATTATACAAATCTTATATTCCTCCATGATCTTCCTGTATACGTACTATAGTGTAAAATAATATGTGTGGCGTATACGAATCGGTTGTGGGATATTACGATTCATAAATCGAAACGAATTATCACAGCAAACGTCATTTTACGCACAACAATTTGCATTCCCGGACCGATATCGGCTGCAGTTTATATTATTGTACCTCGGGGGGTTATACCGTGAACTGAGTTATCTCGACGGCACCATCATTTGACGAGGTAGTATATTTTTCTCTCTGAGATACGGTTTCGCACCGTGAGCCAGACCGTGTGCCACGGGATTTCATAATAATAATATACGAGTAGTGGTCTCGCCCAGGAAAAAAACTCATCGAGCGTTTTTAATTATTTATTTTTGTTTATTATTATTATGTACTGTGTATAAAATCATTTTTTTTTTTTTGTTATGTTTAACAAACATTTTTTGTTGACCTCGGCAATCCCGAGGGGTCACTGTAGTCGGACTGTCGTGACAAGTGCTATACACTTTTTTTCGTTTTTTTGCAATCGGAAAACACGGTGTGGCAAAATTATTATCATAATTTAATGCGATTGTTTTCAAAAAAACAAACACGTAAAATAAATCGGCAATCGAAATGCATCGCAATCAAAACCTAACGCGGCTTTTCGTTTCGTCCTCTCCATCATCTAAACCCGTGATGATTTTTCATTGAGCCATCGACTTACATTTTTGGTTTTCACTATTAGGATAGACCATAATTTCCTTGAATACCAGGTTAGATAGGTAGTAGGTTAGGTCAGAAGGTTAGGTTTAACTTGGAAATTCTTATTTGTAGTCTAGATATAAGTGCCTCGATTGCGTCCCGACACGGTTTGGTTCACAAAATAACGTATCGATGTTTAAATAAAATAGGTATCAATATCTGTTCAATATATTGATTCGTGATCAATGGTAATTTGATTTATAGTCTATGTTATCTGATTGATGCTGCCATTTAAATGTATATTATACTGTCCGAACGCGTCAAGTTTCACCGTACACCAGTACTTAAAACGTACTTCCCTTAAAAATCGAATAAAAAACAACTAAAAAATTACTCCTCAAACAATACGACAAAGTTATATAATACTTTTGTTACTTCATCTTTATTTTATAAAGGTATCTATACCGGCGTTCTTCAGCTGACTGAAAACGAGTAATAATTTCAATTTAAAACTTTCACTTAAGTATTTAAGAAGTTTATGCGACGAGGTGCAGGAGTTATGCGGGATCGACAAACTTTCCCGGACTAATGAAGTCGATAATTAATATTTAGAATATTATTTCTGAAAATAATAATTCGGAATTATAATATTGTAGTGTACTTATGGAATATATCATGATAAATGAAAATCAGGAAAACGAACGTATATGCTGGAAAAACAATGTCAAGTGTTCTGCTATGTACAGGGTTTATCAGGTTGACGGAAATCAAAAATATCACCACTGAAATCTATTTGAACTAATATTTCACATCTGTTTATAGAATTTACACTATGATAATTTACTATTTAATATGTATTCAAAAGTAGGTAGTAGTTTTAACTCTAAAAATTAGGGTGACGAAAATAAAGATAATGCAAGATTTTAGAATGTATAGTTACATAAAGTTTTTACATAATATCTCATTTTTCACAAAAATAAGTATTTTCAGAGAAAATTTCACCGTCACATTTGAAATTATGAAATTTTAAAAACTTTTTAGACTTGTTACAATCATTACATACGCACTATGAATATTATGCAAACTCGCATTATGTATAGTTACTGATTTTTTGGGCTTATTCCTACGGCAGAATTCCACGTAGAATTGAATACATTTGCAATTATTTTCTACTGATCTTACTTAGCTGGACTATTATAATAGCATCAGTTTTTTTATTTTCTACTATTTTATAGCTCTGCTATACAAGATCAATAAAAAGTTCTTTATCCGTGGCTTGGTAGAGAGGTTTTCTTTTTAAACAATTTTCCATTTTAATTTTTAAACTGTACGACTAACAAAACTAGACTATAAATTACATTTTATAAATTAACCAACGTGATTCGTTGTCACATTATCAGTGATTATAAGTTCGCTATCTACCAAATAATCGTAGTTTAGTACATAACCTAAGCTTATCGAAAACGTGTTTATTAAAAACGCACTTATCGCGATGAAACGCAATCCTTTATAAACCTAGATTAATCTTTCAATTACGATAACCGTAGTTTCCCGTCAACGGAGTTTATTGGTTTTTGGTGAGAACGAGCCTAATTCGACGAAAAAGACTGCGTTCGTTTGTAGGACACTCCGAAGTTTCGTCATAAATATTGTTCAGAAATTGCGTATGGCCATAAAAAAAGTAGGTTTGAGGGATATAACAACCTCCCCTACCGCTAAAATGTTTCCAATAACTACTTTTTACTTTGCTAATTTTCCATAAATTAACTTCTTTTTTGGTATATATGAGAGGCTTGTAAAATTAAAAACCTACTCAACTTTTTTTCTGGATATATTACTCTTTACGTTCTATTTAAAAATAACGAAAAGAGTCAACGACTTTTAAAAATTTTTAATAATACAGTTTTATTTCGGTAAAATACAGAATTTCAAATAAAAATATCCCATTACTAGTTCTTTTGTGGGTCTTTTCTGATAGGTATCAGTGGTCCGCATATTTTAGATGCCATTGATATTTGTTCACCCATTATACGTATTGGACGTTTTCTGTTTATGTGACATCAATTAAAAGTTTCGATATACTTAAAATGATATTTATATTTACTCACATTTACAGACCCAATTCGAGTTCCCACCGAGCGTAAACGTACCCAAGTTTGTTTTAAGAGTTGTGTAACCGAGTTTTGCAGATAATGTTTTATAAAACATAATCTGACTATCAGAACAAACTCAATATTTCTCCATATAATTATTATGTTAGTGTTCTATGTATAAAAGTACTACCTAGGTTCCTACTCAATGAAGAACCCCGACAAATGTGTGTGTTTATACAATATAACGTTCGTGCCGAACTCAGACAGTGTTTGTAAATACGTCCTTGGAAAACCGTACAATATCGCATAAAATGATGATACGTAGAAAATAATTTCAGTAAAATTCGTTTTCAAAGTTACCGAGTGTAACATATGAGTTCGCATAAAAAGCCTGCGGTACCGTAAATAATTAAAGGTTTTGGCTGAGCTCCACGCTGCCTTGGAGCGGCGACTTGTGTTACACATAAAACAAAAAAATCAGCATACAGCTTTTTGTACTGAAGTATATAGATTTTACTATTTTAGGAAACATTGTATACGCTGCTTCTATACACCGAGATGCAGAGTTAGTTGAGTTTTTTTTTTAACAGACGCATGACCCCACGCCAAGAATAGAATACCGGTCAAGACTAACTCTCATACTTTCATATAGACGTTATACAGTCAACGAAACGGCCGTTCCCTAGGTCAGAGTGTACAACAGTATCGATTTGCTTTCATACATACCATATTTTTATTATTTTTAATTTCGTAACAAAAATAACGAACGAGCTTCATTGGTTGGTAAAAGAGCTGCTAATTTTAAAGAAAAAAAAACAACTATAGATATTTAACTGACATAATTTTCATTTCGGTTACACTTTATATTCTTATCAAAAATAATAAGAAAAATTACGTCATTTGAGCCAAAGAAAAAGGAGAGCTATGACTAGAGACGGGTGTGGCTACTGTTGTTGGTGGGTAGTTGGAAAGATCGAATACATAACGTTATTTAATTTACACCTGTAACCAACGATAAACCATTGATAACAAAAAACGATTCCGAACTAAGTTCAGTTAAACATGTTTAAAAGGCGTAAAATGTATGGTTCAAAATCTGATTTTAAAACTTATAAAACTAAACAATAATACATTACATTCAATTATTTTCACCACTAAGTACGACGTATCTATAATAAAGCTCATGTCAAATTCCCAAGCATTTCTCTTTAGTCTAAAAATGTTATTCATAAAGTAACTACCAAATAAAAATTCTTAACATTGAAATGTTTATACATATAGCTCAAAAATTGCTTAATGATTTAAAACATTTCACTATATTTAGAAAAAAGTTTTCTGTCAAAATATCAAGAATACGAATACTAAGTATGAATATTTTAAATTGAATTAAATTAAAAAATAAAATTTATATGTTAACAAACATTTTTTCGTAAATTTACCTGTTCTTTCTACGTTTTTTTTTTTTTTTTTGGGTTTTGTTTATTTAAAAATCTATGTACAAAGAAAATCAGAAATCGATTGCCTTCGTCGCCAACTAGATTAAAAATTCAAGAAATAAGGTCTTTTGTCATTTTTCTACTGGAGCAATATTTATAGTGGAAATTAATTTAAATAATGAAATCGTCGCGTCGTAATTTGAAAAAATCGGATTTATGAATTATTCCTATTTATAACTATAATACGTTGAATATCAAAATATACTTTTTTTTTCAGTGGCTTTATATTAAAAGAAATAAAATCATTATGTCATTTTTCTATTAGAGTTATATTATCGGCAAAAAGCATCGTGAACAAAAAGTAACAACTATGAAAGCGGTAATGCCGTGGCACACCGCACCGTAAATATTTGCCATTTTATCATAATTTTCCTTCAGGTTTTTCTAAATTATTTTGAATACCCATTAGAAAATCAAAAAATGACCTATTTAATTCACCCACTATAAAAAATTCTCCTATAGAAATAGTACTACACTATATATTATATCGGAACAAGATATTTATTTAAAAAGTTGTGTTCAAGTGGATAAAAAAGTACAGATCATAGTAGAAGCAAAGTAACGAGTTAAAAGTTACAATTTCCTTATACAAAATAGTTATGTACCTTTGTAATTATGTAACTACTTACAGTTGCTCAGTTTGACTGACGATTTTGAATTACAATATATTTAATATAAAAAATGTATTATCATATTTATAAAGCCAGTTTATTTTATTTTTTTTTTTTAGATTATCTGGTGACGACAACGACGTCGAATACGATATGGACGACGGCCTGGACGATGAACTAGACGACGATCTGGACGACGACTTATTAGACGAGGAGAGCGGCGGCGGTGGAGTACCGTTCACCGACGGCGGCTGCGATTCGATTTGCTCGGAGGAGGTGACGGGCACGCCGCGATGTCGTCGTGTCAAACGACAGCGGCGGCGACGAAGGCGACGGTCTGGTACGCTACACGAGTCTATGCGCCGGCGGTTTGATGGTCACGGTCACCGATATCCGCCACCACACCCATACTTTCGGCACCCCCACCAGCAAAAAAATCATCTGCAGTCACCACATCACACTGATAGCCGACCTACACGGGTCCGGAGCTTTCACGAAGACGAACTTCGGCGAAACCGGATCGAATCACCGGTCATTGTAACGACAGAAGACAATATTGAGACTATTGCGGTAACGGGCCCGAAAATCGTGGGCACATTGCTCAAACAGGAATACCAGCGGAAACCCGGGCTGGAAGAAGAGATCTGCCTATTGCCACCACCACCTCGCCGACGTCGGCGACGGTGTTCGGCATCCACGAGTAGTGGCGACACCACTGGCACCCCATCACCGCACCCCACACCACGATGGCCGGTGGAACAGACACCACCGCCACTTGCTCGTGAACCAACTCACCAACCGCAACAGCTAACGGCAGCACAACCGGACAACCAACCGAAGCGACATGACATGTTGCAGCAAACGGCGGTAGCGGCCACTCGACGAGCCGACACAATAGCCGAGTGGTCAGCCGTGGCCAACACATCCAAGACGACGTTGGTAGTCGACTGCGGTAAAGGTGGCTTACCGTTACGCAGGGCCATGACACAAAAGCTGATACGGAAAAGGACGCTGACCATGAGTACGCCGTCCGGCAAACGGCACTCGCCGCTCATGCGGTACGGCTCGACCCTTGGCCTGCCGGCGTCACAGCAACAACAACACCAGACGTCACCGATGACGTCACTGCAACGATCCACCAACAACAATAACAGCCGGTCAAGCGTCATGATCCGAAACTCGTACCGGCATGGCCGCATCATCCGGCTGGAGCAGAAAGCCACTAAAGTTTTGGGTGTCGTGTTTTTCACGTTCGTTTTCCTGTGGACGCCGTTCTTCGCGCTAAACCTACTGCCGTCCGTGTGTCCGAACTGCGAAGCAAACACTAACAAGGGCCTCATTGATCTAGTTACGTGGCTCGGTTATGCCAGTTCTATGGTCAACCCAGTGTTCTATACCATTTTCAACAAGGTGTTCCGGCAGGCATTTAAACGGGTGTTATTGTGCAAGTATCGCGGCCGGAACAAGAGACACTCGTGGCCACCTCCACCGCCGATTCGGAAGGTCTGATCAGAATTGTGTCAGAATCTCGAATCTTAATTTTATTATCTCCTCTCTGTACTTCCCGATCACCCCACCGCTTTGGATACAGTAGGACGTCGCGAACTAAAAAAAGTTGAATGAGCAAGTCTTGTTCAGGGGGATGGGGGTTATCCGGTCATAACTCTATCATGCGTTTTTAAACAGTCATTGAAAATGTTCAAATTCAATTTGGAATACTTACTTCAAACTTGATAATATCCCTTTTGGGAATATTTTTCAGTCAGTTAAGCGCAAGGATCACGATACCGGGTGACGAGTTTTTTTTCGAGGACATGAGTTTTTAGCATCAAAAGATCAACGAATTTTCACGTGAAAATTTAACACCATTCATAGTATTGTTGAAAATTCTACAGGTACGAAACATATAATCATTTGACGAAACAATGGTAGTAACAACGGGGGGTACCCGTAAACCGATTTATGAGTGGAATATATTCATTTTTCATTTTTTTTTTACAATTTTTTTTTTTTTGAAAGATTAACTTTCGTTGGAAATGTTTGTTTAAATCCGTTATAAAATGGAAAACATGTCAAATGAAATATTAAGGCGTTATAATTTTTCGACCGAAATTCAATTTCCACCAAATATTTCCCAATCAATTATTTTTAACTTTTCGCGCATTACAGTATGTCTGCAAGCACGTCATCTATCCTTATCAAAAGAATCCTACATTTTTACTGGTACGAATCAAAATTAAAATGAATGCGATGTTTATCGGGCATTTAAGAAAATAGCGTTTTCGAATACGAAATCCTCTGAACAAGGACACACGAAATCGTTAAATACCACAAAACAGTATTTTATTTTTTTTTTTTATTAATTTTCACCGATATTAATAATTATTTGAAATAATTTATCGATTTAAAATGAACGGCAGAACGACACGGTTCAGCGACGCTTTGTTTATTCGAATTCAATTTAAAAGGCCAATAGTCTACATCTCTCAGCCCAGGCAATCTAAACAGCTGCATCTTCCGAAACGTTAATTTCATCATTTTATCAACAGTAATTATTTTATTTAATAATAATATTTAAAATACGTTCAAGAATCATGAAGGATTAGGTTAGGGATGCAGTACATATAGTACCATCAAAAAGTATCGAGGATATAGTATTACTCGAAAATCGAGCATTGAAGAGCCGTTGAAGGGTCGTTATTACTGGCTTCTTTGACATCCGAGTCCATCTATTTTTGTAATTTCTCATAAACTTCTTCATTTTGATGTCACCGATATTTTTATATTTTTGTAAAATATATTTTTCATGTTTGGTGATTTTATAATGAATACAAAAGAAAAGCAACTTGACGAGCTTTTTGGATGTTTTAGAGAAATTTTTTTACGCGTAATTTTTGCATTTTGGAGAATTTAAGCGAAACATTATTTATACCAAGAAATTATACAACTACAAACCTGAACTTGAATGCATTTTTCGATCCACGGTCAACATTCTTGGTACAAATCGTGTGGCATTTTGACACATCTCTAGTTATTAAGTAACAATTTTTTGGTATTATCGATGAGAAATGGAAAAAAAAAGGCGAACTTCAAAAAGCTCGTGAAATCGATACAAAAAATATCGGTGACATAAAAACAAAGAAATTTATAGAGAATCTACAAAAACATATTTGTTTAGAAAAAGTCATATAGAACTCAGTGATACGGATTTTACTGCTATTCAATTCTCGGTTTACGAGTAATACTATCAGTCTCTATACTTTATATTTGACTATAATCTATACTATACTTCCTAGGTAGTATAATTTAGAAACAGAAAATATTATTATAATAATATAATATTGTCACCATGTTGTAATTATATCGCAGTTATCAATCCGCGTAAGTCACGATAGTCCCGGACGCGTAATAATTGATTTTCTGACATCGCATTTGTGCAGAGAGACGATGCACGACCAGATGATAAATTCGCTATTAATCGCAGTTACAACGTCGGAATACCGTAAAATACAATAGTATTATACTTAAGTAATCCTAATCCTATCCGTCTGATAATACCCAACGTGCGTTTTTCATTCTTCTTATAAATACCATAGATATTAAACCATAAACATTATACATATTAAATAATGAACTGCGCTCAAGGAAGAAAACGAGGTACCGATATTGAATGGAAAATATAATGATAATTGAGGAAGCACTCACGGAAGAAATTATTAAATATTTTTATTTACACCAAGAAATCGTCGTTACTTATCTGTCTGTATCACCTTGATATAAGTTTGATATATTTTGTCTGTAATCGTGGTACAATTAATCTTCATAACAAATTACAGGCATAATAAAAATCAGGTTTTAAAATACACACATAGGTAATATTTCATATCTACATTCACTTTCTTTAGGCATTTTAATTCATAATACCTAATTAATTAATTATTTTTTTTATGTAACTTAACTTGTTAATCGAAGTTAAGTAGTAGTTAATAGTATATTTATTTAACTTAATTTTGAATTTAATGGAAATTAAAATCATTTAACTTAACTGAGTTAAAAATTATTATTTTTTACTAATTATTTTAAGTTAATTCTTAAGCTACATCTACAAATATCTCATATGTAATGTATAATAGTATTTTGTTATATCAGCGCAGAACTTTATTGAAATATATAAGTATAAACGTGCACCGTATCTTATCTGGTATGCGTTGTGCACCTAGAGTTATGAGTAATGAAAAAATTCTATTTTTTTTTTTTTATCCAGATGAATAATATGATCCGGTAGATAATTAAATAATTGTGTATCTTTTATCTACATCTAGATAATTATTAATTATCTTCTATCTCCAAAATTCACGATATTTATTCGAAAAACTTCTTAATCGAAACAACTAAACCTTCTGAAAACTCTAAAATTCAGACACTAGCCGAAATATCGTAGGTATAGTTTTATAAACACCTTTAAAAACGTTTTGATGATCGTATAATTGACGTTCCATAAAAGAAGACTACCGACGTTTTATTTTATTTTAATAAAGCTCCTTTTACATTATTGCTTTTCAATAAAACTACACATATTCGACTCGGTTTTAATTCGAATTTCGTCCGTTTCATTCTTCAAAATTTCTATTTATCGAGTATCTATATTGTACCAAGTCCTGACTGTAGTAATTTATTATTATTATTATTTTTTTTTTTTATTCATAACGATGTATAGTAGTCGTATATTATGTACGAAACACATCAACAACGTTATAGGAGACATCCGAAGTATAGAAGACATCCGATCGCTGTATATAGTACGAGAGATATTACTATTACAATTATTTGTACAATCGTGAGTTTTCCATTAGTGTGTGCAGTTCGGATCGCACTGTCGTGTCGCCGTCACCGTAATTGAAATTCGCATCGCTGCACTTGTGACTTTTAGTAGACCCTTCTCCTTCGCATTTGCCTTCGAGTAACGTAGTCGTCACGCCACTCTAAACAACTGTACTGCCCTGTTGCAATAGTGCCGTAGCCGGTGATTTGACAAATAGTATACCACAGTGTGTTACTAGTATCGAGCGTAAATTGTTACAAAAAGGAATTTTTTCTCAAATTTTTGTTTTTACTTTTTTTCGCGTCAAAAACCACGTGACTAACATGTTTAGATATTTGAAAATGCTAAAAAAACTACAGACATCATGGTTTAATTTTATATTTCAAGTAGTGCAAGGAACGTATTGGTTTTCTTATGATATATATTTTTTTTTATTTTTTTTTTATGTATAAACTACTTTTCTATCAGAAATCTTACTCCAATCAAAGACGTTATAGGCAATTTCTCGTAGCGTTTTGGGTGCTATTGGTGAATTGAGGAGGTTATCTTTTTATTTTCCTATTATTTTTTTCAAGAAAGCAGAAATGCTGATTATTTTTGGTAAAATTACCAAAATACTCTATTCCTGGTTACGTTAGCATAAAAGGAAAAAGTGCGACTAATAATATGTACTGTTCTTAGAATGGTTTTTGTTATTAATAATTGATCGTCGCATACATATGTAAATAAAGTGACTCTATTTATCCTCCCTTTCAACATACATTTTAAAATAATGCCACAAGCAATGATATTTACCCATTAGCAGTATCATCCTTTTTTAATATTTTATTTCAAAATTCAAAACATAAATGGCCCTACTATGTGTATTGTTTGCAGTATGATAAAATTGAAAAACTCAACTCGATTTTACTCTAAGGCCTGCTAAAATCTCGATCCAAAAACAAGTGTGCCCGGTATCGTTACCTATATATTTATACAATTTTATATTAAAAATAATATGTTATAATATATATGTTTGTTCGTTTATTTTTATTTAATATGTGTACAAATTTTATATATTGTGTTTTTGTGTGGTTTAAGATAAAACTTATCTTAAACGTCCGTATATTACATATACTCATTAACTAGTTGACTGCGTCTTATATTTCCTTCATGTTTCCTAAAAATTAGACGACACATGATTATCAACAAGGGGTATCTGAGAAGGAAAAAAAAAATGTTCATGTTTTTTTCCTATACAAATCATTAATTTGTCACCAAGTATATTCGTGTTTATCGCATATACATCGTATTTATCATAAATAATATCACATATAACGTATTATTTCTTATTACATACCTATATCTTCGACTAAGATATTTAGGACTAGCAATGGATGGCAGGGAAGGCGTGAGTGCCTGGACCCAAAAAAATATTGGTAGACATGGAAGACAAGGGCTATTTTTCCTCTATGAACATCTGACTTCAGCGCTTTCTTATTAGGTACTTATGGATCTAATAGGTACTTAAATAGAGCGTACATAACTAAAATATCCGCTAAGACGGCGCTGGGAGTCATGAAGAAAATGCTGCAATGTCTATAACTTTTTTCAACGACGATTTTGATGTTCCTTCTCAGCCCTGTATACCTTAGTTCGCGATCCATAGTATTATTTACGACAGATCAATTTTTTTTCATGGAAAAAACCAAGGCACTCAGACACTCTTTTTTAGCTAACTAATAATTTTTGTTCGAGACACAGTCCACTAGTTAGTAGGTCTATAGTATACTATATTAACATAATCGTAGGTAATAATATTTCGCAAGTGTATGAAAAACAATTGTGTATTCGGTATTTTACTTCTCACGTGTATATCTTATTAATTATTATTATCAAGTCAAGTCTGAGTCCCCGCACACATCAGCTGTATAATACCAGTACGAGTGCCGCGTAAAAATTGTTATCAGAGCCATATTATAAACGTATAATGTTAAATATATTATTGTTATTTTGATGCTCTTATAATGATCAATTTATTGGTTTTTTTTTTATTCCTATTTCTTTGAAATGATTATTCATATAATAAAATATATTAAAAAATCTAAGGTCGATGGAATATGAATTAAAAAAGTTATAAGTCATAATTAATTTAAACTTTCACCTACTTGGCTAAAAACTTTTGATTTTTCATCAAGTAACATTGTTTTTTTTAACACTAACTAATAAATAACGAACAATTCGGAATTCGTAATAGTTTCACATTAAGTCAATTTCAATTTATATTAATTTTAAAATTACGAAATATATAATCCATACACTATAGGTACAACTGTACTTTATGCACCATCGTCATTGTATTGTAATAATATAGTTTTTATTAATTACGTTTCACTCAATGATGTGCGTAATGTTTAAAATAATATGTTCTAAACGTGTACTGTTTTTATTTTCAAAAACTCTATCGGTTTATCCGATATTATATGGCAATAACAATTAAAAAATAAAACTAAAAAAAGTCAACCAAACTCAAGCAATATGTTAATTCAATTTTCAAGGTGATTTTTCACTTGACTCAGTTAAAATAATTATTATTGTTTTTTAACGCGTTTACTCGTTGCCTTTTTTTTTCGATTAACTCTAACGTTGCCGAGCCTTGTGGAGGAAATTATAAACCTAATTTATATAAATACTACACCGCGCCGTTGTAGGTCACTCGTATGATAATATTATACTCTGTTGTGTGCGTGAGGCAAACGATTTAAACGAAGCGTAACATATTCTAAAAGTACATATTATAATATTATATAGAAACGAAAAAGTTTGAAAAAAAACCTTAAGCGTACTACACAAAAAAGCTTGCGCAATCGAATATCTAAAATAATTTGTTTTCCAGTGTAAAATAATTATTATTATACTTGTAATATTTGTATCCGGATAAAAAAAAATTATACACATAATATTATATGAATAAACGATATAATTCACATAATACTATACACGATGTATCTGAAGGATTTGACAATTCTCTATAATGTAACTGCATTGAACATTTTCGTGTCCTCCATATACACTGTGTATGTATAATATTATTTTAGTCGATTAAAAAAAAAAAAAAGAAAAAAAAAGAACCGTACTCGTAAAATATTATTATTAGTATATACGTGTTATTTATTTAAGATATTATTACTATTGTATGTGCATCGTTTGTTTTACTTTACTGTATTTATGCTTTCCTATACCTATTAAAATAATATTAAATACGTGATACCGTTTCGCTGATATGTTGTTGTCCTCGTATAACACGCGTCTTTAGATTCCAATATATACTCGTAGGTATGCTTGTTAACGGATTTGAGGTGGAAAACACGCGACTCCACTTTGGAATTTTTCTAGATTTTTATATCTATTTAAATTATGTACAGACACACCCAATGCTGTAACTATGGTGAAGGGGTCGGTAGTGAATATTTGAATGTAAAAATTTGAAACTTATTTTCAGTACTTAAGATACCAGTTCATCCCACGTTCCATGAAACTTATTTAAATTTTAGATCTACTACTGGTATGCGTTAATTTCAATGAAATTATGGTAACGAGAAATATTTTAGCTTAACGGACTTGGATTGAATAAGGATGGCATTGTTATTATTATTATTATTATTATTATTATTATTTATTTTGAAGTGAAGTGCCAAAATAATGCATATTCCGAGCCTATTTTCAAAATGTTAACGCCCGTGATATGCAATAAAAAACTTATAATTCCTTAAACGAAAATACTATATTGAATACTATTCGAATCATAGGCGCCGACTACATGAGTGTTCGGGAACCGCTGCCCCCATTGAGAAGATTTAGTTTCCCAAACCGTGTTTACGGAATAATATACCTGAGATTCGAGAACATTGCTTATAATAAAATTATAATGAGTAAAGATAGATAGAATAAATTTTCTTTAAATTCATGTGATATTATTAAAATAAAATAAAAGTAAATGAATATTTTTAATTTATTTCTTATTATATAATATTTAGTACGTATTTTATCATATTTTACATATTTACACCAGTTTAAACTAAGACTTTGAGTGACAAAAAATCTGAGAGAGAACCATTAAAATGAAAATTGTTGAGCGTTTCCTTGTCATATAATTGTTTATAACAAAGAAATTGAAAAGGAGACAGTTAAAAATTTAGACATAAGTAGTCCCTTTCCCATTGTTTGTTTTATTTTTAAAACGAATAAATTCAAAAATTAATAATCTATATATTTAGAATCATAAAAGTACGCATACATAATATTGTACGTTTTAAATTAATCGAAAAATCAAGAAAAAAAATCGTTTAACAGACAATTTTTGTGTTATAGGAAAAAAAATCTTAATGTTCAAAGTCATTTGAGAAAATAAATATGACTATGCGAATTAAGTGTTTCCGTTTAAAAATAAAATTTAAGTTTTATCGCGCACGAGTGGGTGTTAAATTTTGAAGGTAAGTTCGAAATAATAATTTGACGGTTTATAGAAACCTAGTTGCAGATGTTACTGAACAAATAAAAAATTCCATTTAAATTTAAAGTCCACTGTGCTGATATATTATCGTGTTATACCGTTTGAGTGCACACGCATTGTATAATTTTATATTAATGTATATTAGCCATGTTTTTTTTTTTTTTTCAATCGATTAACGCGTATAAAAATGTACGGGAACGCATAACAATTGTTATCATGTGTTGTGAATACCTATACCTATATATACATATATTATATATATAAATAATAATATAAAACTTCAGAATAACAATACAATATTATTATATTATTATTTTCTTTGGTCTTTTTATTTATCCCACAAACCATAGTGTAATAATATTATTATTTTAATGAGATGCAACGAGCCTTCCTTGAAGGTTTTCGGTCCGTTTCCTATTAAATTGTATTGAAACGTATCCAAAAATCAAGAAAATAGTAATACAAATACGGTTGGACACGATCTTTAAGAAAAACAGGTTCAGTCAAAAACGGTTATACTTTAAAGTATAGACGAAAAACTATACTTTATATATCCGCTACCATTCGACTATAAAAATATTTTGAGCGAGAAAAGACCACTACAGCTATAGACTTAATAATAATAAATCAAGTTTTTCACCGTAGAAAAAGGATAACTCACACTGCGCGACGTTAGTTTAATTGTTTGATATTACAAATACCAAAGAAATTCATGATTGTTCAAAAATCTGATCGTTTTTAAACTCGTTCGGAACTTTGATATTGAAAAATTTTAACCATTGGTGCACAGTGGTAGTTCACTTTTTTGTATGGTGCCGATTTGGTTTCTGAACCAATTCCACGGGCTTAATAATAGTTTTCATCTGCACGAAACGGTTTTTCATAAACATTTTGATTAATTTCATGATTACAAGAAAAATACTTATGATAATGACACGGTAATACATTTAAATGTAAATGGATATTTATATATTGATAAAATTTAATTTATTCATTCAAACATTTCTAGAAAATTGCCTATGCGTAACTGTTTAAATACGATCTGTAGCATGTTTTTATAAGACCTTTAACATTATTACCTCATAAGACATTAATAATAAGCCTTTTCGGGTCTTAACACAATATTAAACGAAAATTGATATCTATATACTATATCACAAAAAAAAGTTAAAAATAAAATATTCATACTACTTTTAATACCACACGGTTTTTGTGATACATATTTCCGTGACAAAATATTAAATCTGTATATTACAGCGGTACGACCTGTCTTAAAATTTCACACAGAATTTATGGTATATAAACTAAAGAAGGTCAAAAGTGAATTAGATAAAACTTTTTTGTTCCCGATCGTCCTATTTTCTTTATAGAAAATACTTCGTCATCGTTGTTGTGAACAAAATGTTTTCTCATCACGCGTGTCGTTAACATTATTTTTTTGCGATATAATCGATTTATCGAACACGTTCATATTAATCATACTTGCCAATAACAACAATATTGTTGTCAAAAGATTTCAAAAGAAAAAAAAACACCCACGGGTTTTGAAAAGCTGCTTCAAAAGCGTAGCTTTGAGTGTTGGAACTTGAAAATTGTCTTTTTTTAGCTACAAGTAAGGTTAAAGAGGTTGTAGGCCCCTATATCCCCTAGAACCCCTCTAATCACTCTACGACTATTGATAAATCCGGAATTCAAAACATAGCGAAGAATTTATTAGCTTTACAATGATGTTAATTTTAGATTCTAAGCGGAGCAAGGAATATATTGGTTTTACAATGATATTTATTTTTTTTTTTTTTATGTGAACACTTTTTCTTCCAGAAAGGAAACTCCGACTATCAAGTATAGCATATTTTTTGAAAGGAAATTTTTTCTAGGGGGTACTTTGAGAAGGTTATTTTTTTGAAATTCTTATTAATATTCGAGATAGTAAGGAAAACCTCGGTCTTAAGGTTAAAAAATTGGTTGTCATTGGCAACCGTTTTTATTTATTTTTTTATAGTTATTAAATTTTTATGACTTTAAAATCTTTTTTAAACAATCATCGTTGTCATGGAATTGTAATCATGTTACCATAATATGAGTACATGATTTATATATGTATTATTAACAAAGCAATACTATGAACTGAACTCTACTCAGAATCGCTGTTTCGTTAGCAATGGTTTATCGTTGCTTACAGATATACATTCAATTTCCATCTGTATCCTACCTTCTCAACTTTCCACCTACAACAGTGGCTGCACCCACGAGTTAAGTATGTGTGTCTTTTTTTCTTTTGTTTTTTTTTTCTTTGATACTGTGTACAAAATATCCAGAAATCTTGCTCCGGTGTATCACGTTTAGAGTAATTTCTGAAACAAATTGGAAACCCGTAAAAAATCGTAAGAATAAAAGGAAAAAAATGTATAGTAGCGCTTGGCGTGCCGTGAAAATTTACGTTAGGAAAAGATAGGAATAGAATTTAATGTTATCTGTAAGCAACGACAAACTATTTCTAAGTAAAAAAAGATTCTGAAAGGAGTTCAGTTGATAGTTATGAATTGTCAACAATATATATTCCATATTAAAGTCATTTAATTATTATTATTAATAATATTGAATAGCATATAATAAGCGTTTCCATGGCAACAATGATTGTTTAAAAATGATTAAAATATTTAATTTTACATACAATTAATTGTGTTCACACCATATATTACATGAACACATAACTATTAGAAATTCTATTCTATATTTTAGTCGTTTTACTCCGATACTACAGTGCTCGATTTTCGATACTTTTGTTTAAAAATAAAGCAAATAATTGTTTATTGATTAATATAAAACACTAATTAGAATTTATATGTAAAACAAAGGACAAACATACTTCGCACGTAGGTGCAGCTACTTTTGTAGGTGGGAAATTTCGAAGAAAGGATACAGACGGAAATTTAATATCTGTAAGCCATGATAAACCATTTCTAACGAAAAAACGATTCTGAGCAGAGATCAGTTGATAGTGTGCTTTGTCAACAATTATACATACGCCATATTATGGTGAAATGATTACAATAATGTGCGTTTCCATGACAACAATGATTATTTAAAAAATATTAAAATAATAAAAACTTAATAATAACAAAAATAAACGAAAATGGTTGTCAATAGCAACGTTATTTTTAATTTTTTAATCTTTTTTAACTTAAAGAATTAGATATTCTTTACTATCTCGAATATTAATGAGAATTTCAAAAAATGACATCTCTAATGTACCCCAACCCAGAGTACATTTCCTTTCAGGAAAAGTGCTACAGTTGATAATCAGATTAAGCTTTTTCGTAGAAATAGTGTTTATATAATAATTAAAAAAAACATCATTGTAAAAGTAATACATTCCTCGCTCCACTCATAATCTAAAAAAACATACATCGGGAAATAAAAATTTTTGTCTAGATTATTCGATTTATTAGTCATTATTATTAGATCAATCGACAACTAATTGTGATAACGTTTTATTACACTTAAATTATTATAATGACGAAATTCTTTGGTCCTTTATTATAAAAAATGTGAAATAAAATGCTGCGCATTTTTGCTATAATTCCGAATATATCGCTCAATATCTAAGTCATTAATAAATAACCGCAATATTAATATTTTTGGTTTTTTTTTTTTAACGCAGCGTGGTGATCTCCTGATTATTAAGCTCTAGTAAGTATGATTTGCTATGGCACCTTTTATTTGGACCGAAACCGCTTATGGGTATCACGTCTTCTTAATTTAGAGTTGTGTAGATGAGACATTAATGTTTGTGTCATCTTATTTATGGATCCTCTTCTCTTGCATAACCCTCGTCAGGAGCATCAAACAAAATACTCCAGCCTATGGTAACTAACATAGCTTAGAATTCTATGTCCGAGAAAGACGATTCGGTAATATCTATATAGTTACAAATTTTGTCCCAGTATTCGGTTGTATTTTTTTCAAAATGTTTAGTTTTTTTTTGATACCCTGGACCTATAGAACGTAATATTAATACTGAGTTTAAGAAAAGAAAGCAAGTAAGAAAAAGCAAGTGAATAAAAAGTAAGTGGTAAAAAAAGCAATTTATTTATTTTAAACATTAAAATATAAAAACAAAATTATTATTAGTTAGAACTATATATTCTTTAGTACTATACACCAAATGTATAGTACCATAGTAGCTACACAATATTTTAATATTATGGTCTGTATAATATTTAAAATGTTTTTACAAAAATAATTATTGGAGGAAGTTATCGAAATCTGCAGTCCATAATCGAAATCAAATGTAACAAAAATGATTACTATTGTAGTGTATGTACAAAATATATAAAAATCAACTTAAAATAAAGCTATGGCTATAGTATATGTTCTCGTATAGCATACGCCTGACGCCGGCATCGTTATCGCTGCACTCTGGATAACGACATTCGATAACTTGGATTTCCAAATCGCACACCGATTGTGGGTAACAAAAATTGTGGATAATAATCATATCGAAAATTTCTTTAACGTTGTAACATATCATATTATTTACGTTTTAAATAAAAACATTTTTTTATAATGCTTTACATTCCATGGTATATATCATTTATTTTATTTTTAAATTTAGAATTTTTTTGTTTTTTAATTTATTACAAATATTGTATTATTGTATGATGCATGATATAATGAACGTACTATTATTTCATATGACTTATTACAGCAAAAATAATAATATAATAATACAATATATAACAAATAATTTTTAAAAATAAATAATTATAAATTATAAATAATACTCGTATAAATCCAAATTTCTTTTTTCTTATCTTGAGACAAAAATATTTAGATAATTAATTTTTTTTCATATATGCTGTAGCCATATGTATATTTAAAGTTTTTTTTTTTTTTTTGTATTTACACTATAATGATAGTCATTTTTGTTACTTTTGATTATGAACTACAGATTTCGATAACTTACTTTGATAATTATTTTTGTAAAAATATTAAAAATATTATCATTGAATATATAATATAGTTTATGGTATTAAAATATAGTGTAAGTACTACCTATCATATGGTACAATATAATATTATTTAGTACTAACCAATAATATTAATTTTTATATTATAATATTCAAAATAAATATATTGTTTTTTTTACCACTTGCTGTTTTTCTGTTGTTTTTTTTTCACTTGTTTTTTTTCTTAACCCCATTAATACCAACGTACCTTTATAGTCAAGAACAAAAA